GAAATTATAACAAAAAATGTATAATAATCTAATTTAATATATAATCAAAATATATAAATTTAACACCCCATTGTATTTTTTTAATTGGTTTAATATCAGTAAAATTTATTCACGTATTTCAGTAACTTTTTAAGAAGTATTTTAATTTTATGTGTAAACAAAAGTTAAAGATTGAAGAAATGCAATACAATTATTATGACTTTATTACTAACAACACCTTTATTTGCAATACATAACTTGTATTTTAAGAATTCAAACGATATATCAAACATAATTCACGAACCAGAATTTCTCTTGCGGATTTTAAACCTGATTTAACTTATTACAATGGGGAAATATAAATTGTTACATGTGAATCCATTGGGGGAAAAGAAAATGGAAAAATATTTTTTAACAACAAGTTGTGTATTTTCTGGATTAATTTGAAAAATATCTAAGTGCACGACTTGTACAATGTACAATTTGATACATTTTTAGTCTAAGGAATACGAGGCAGGTTTTTATAAATACTTTTTACCCTTTATGTAAAATTATAGGAATTTTTATAATTTAACAAATCCTTTATTAAAAACAAACAATAATTATATCGATGTTTATTATTTATATTCTAGATTTGATCTACACATTGACAAACTATGACTTTATGGCGTTTTAGTCACGGGCATACTTCGCTTGTGACTAATAAAAAACTTAATACATAAAGGATGTAAGCAATTTATTTTATAAATTTCTCAAAAAGACTTGTTTATTTTAAAGTCGCTCCGAAAGCTACGCTTGTGCATAATAATTAATTATTTAACTGGAAACTTAAATGGCGAGAATTTGTCATATAGCGTTTAATTATTAATAATAATTATACTAAAATAAAGTACCTATTTATATGCAAAACATTCAACAAACTTTTGAGTAAAAACTTTCAAAAAGAGAAACGAATGAAAGCAATTTGGATTTTTTAAGTTATCTATAGAAACTTATAACAACAAAATACTGAAATACATTTGGGATCCATACATTGGGAATATATTATAATACAACAGGTAGCTTATAGTAAAATCTTTTTTATAAAGTTTATAAGTATATAACAGTTTTTTATCAAGTTAGTTTTTGTATAAGACAACTTTACACAATTTTTCGTTGTTTCATTCAATAAATCACAATAAAATGCTAATAAGACCTTAGTATGGAATGCAATATTTTTATCTCTATATATTTATTTCAACGATACTCTAACTACTTCATTTCTTCAGAATAAAACGATTTTATTTTTTTTAAGAGTATATGGATAATGCTTATCGTTGTCTTGGGCTTGGTAAAATTATTTGTAAAATAACTCATTTTTAATAATGCTCAGTAGGTTTATCATTATTTGGAACTTTTCTCAAAAGGATAGGAAATAGCATTAGAAATGAGTTATTTTGCAAATAATTTTGTTTACCCCAGAATAAGTTTTTGGTGCTTGGTTCCTTTTCGATAAATGCTATTCACACTGTAAAATATCTATGGTGTAAAGGGTGTTAATATAAACACAATATAAACACAATGAATTATGGTTAAAAATGTTATATACAGCAAACACCAAAACGGTGTTTATCTTAAAATATTTCTTATCTTTTCGAACTACTGAGAAGTACACCTAGTATGATTTAATTTGACCAAAAACACTGAAAAGGAGTTCAATTTACACCAGGTAAAATTTATTTTGATACTTTGTGAAAGTTAAATTTACACTATTTTAGTATTTGAATTTACACTGGACCAACAAACCATATTTACCACCATTTTGGTTTAGACCATGTATGGTGTTAATTTGGTGTTAAAATGGTCATAACATTTTGAACAGTGCATATATTTTTGTTAAAGGATTAACTTTAAGTTTTGATTCCACCCTGTAAATACATTTGTGAATAAACAAGATTTATTTACCCACTTCGCGCATTTTGCGTTCACCACATCAATTGCAACTCAATAATCCATTTCACGAGCTCGTAAGATGAAAACACTCGCAAACTATGAGTGGCCTAATTTTTTACGACAGAATTCGACTTTTAACGATACAACTTGCCTCTCTATTTTTTCAGCCCGGTTAAAAAGTTATGAAACCTATTTGAAAAAGTGACCTCAAAATTCAATTGTTTATAAATTTCTCAATTTTGTTTAGTTGCAAAACTGCTTAGCAGGCTAATTTGTATCATAAGAAGCTATCGATTTAACAATTTATGCAATTTAATTATGAGAACAAATTATATTTCGTGCTTTATTTCAAAAACAACTTTTTTACAGGTTTTTCTTTATCCAGTCTAGGTTATTTTTTTGTTATATTGGGAAAAACAATCTTATAAAAAAATAAAACAAAAAAAAATGTTGGAAATATGAAGAAGAAATATCAAACATACTTTAATATGGATATTGCTTATCGAAAAGGAACCAAGCGCCAAAAACTTTCTCTGTGCATAGTAAAATTATTTGTAAAATAACTCATGTTTATTAATGCTCAAAAGGTTAATCATCATTTCAAACTTTTCCCAAAAGAATTAAGAAGGTTTCCAAATCATTATAATGATTTGGGAATTAATATTTATTTATTTTTTAAGCAGTTTTAAAAATGAGTTAATTTGCAAATAATTTTGTTTACCCCAGAAAAAGTTTTTTCAATCAACGCTATCCATATATGAAAATGGATGGCCGACGCTTATTCAATTACGAAATGTAAATTTTTCACGGCTGGTTTTTAATTAATTTTCTAAAGCTACAGTTTGTCGCCTACCGGATATTTCAGATTGTTTCTAAACGAACGATATTAAAAAATATTATTAATGAATAAACCAAAAAAAAACCTAAAAAAACCTATTTTGATGTTTTTGGAATATAAACAATAGTGTGTGTTTACTATAATTAAATGAAATAATAAAATAGCAGTCTTAATAATGTACATTTATTTAATTCATAATTAATAATACCAACTTTTAATTTTATCCCGGCGAATTCACCATTTTTGCAACAAAGTTAGTTATTTCGGTAGTTTATTATTACCTCAACTCAATCTGCTAAATCACGCCTGTGATTGGCTACTTTATTTAATTAGTAACAAAATAAGGGTAAATTTATTTTATTTTTTGCTTTTTGACAAACCTCCCAACGATTTTCGAAAAGGTCTAAAAAGTATAAATTTATTAAAATAAGGGTAAGATACACCCTAAATATATTTTAACTTTTTCCTTTATACCCTGTATAATAATAGAGAAAGTAGGTTATTCAAACAAAAACAACAAATTTTGGCTTTGTAAATGGTAGACCAATAAGGATTGACCTTTTACATTTTAAAGTCGACCGGTGTACTTAGAAGATTAAAACACTCAGAATAAATTAAATGTGGTGTAAATTATGAGGTTTTAAATGCCTAAAAGCGCCAGTCTTTACGAAAGATTAATTTGCTATTACAAACAAATTACTTACATATAAAAGATTTCATAACGTTAGTTTGTAGTTTATTTTGTAAAATTTTAAATTAATTTTTTGTAGAAAACCATTTCAAAGGTTACATATTATTTAGTTAATGTTTAACAAATTATTTCGTTGAAAAAGTACACGTGATTTCAGACAGTTAATCAAAACATTGCAATACGCATCAACACACTGCAAAAATATCAGTGTGTAAATTCTCTTTTTTTGTGTTAAAATTTTTGTGTAAATTTTGTGTAAAAATCGTGGAAATACTTTTACACGAATGTTCCTAAATTGGGAATCAACACTAAAACGTGTAACCACTTGTTAATTTACACGTTAATGTGTTATAAACTCATATTTAATAAATATCGTGTTATGTTACACAAAGTTGTGTAAATTTTAACAAATATCGTGTAAAATTTGCTCTTTTGCTGCTTACCCCTTTATATGTAATATGAAATTTAACCTTCAGGAAACATAGTGGGTAATGGCAAATTTGCCAGTAACACATGACATTTTATCTTTTTTAGGTAAGTAAGTTTTAAACAATTAAAATGATCTTGTTTCCTTTATTACTTTTGTTTTTAATAATTTGTTTTAAATAAAAATATTATAATATAATATTTTGTCTAATTGAAATTATAAAATATTTTTTTTTAAGTATTTTTTTAAACATAATTTTTATTAATCTACCCAATTTAGTGTAAAATTTAATACGCTAAAATATTAAATAATAACACCATCTGGTGTTAAATTTAATACCTAAAGTTGTATAAAAATTACACAAACAATGTGTTAAAGTTTAATTATTCTTCTTGTAAATTATTAAACGATATAAAAAACAAATCAACACACTGATGCTGTGTTAAAATTTTACACGATTTCGTGTGGACTTGGAATAACACAGTTTGGTGTTGGGGCATGTAGACTTGTGTTAATTATTTTTTACAGTGCAACACCAGCGTCTGCAACCAGAAATCTGATATTATTGTAATTCGGATTCTTTATACCTATTTAACGAGTGTGCGAAGTGCGAAGTATCCGAAAAAAGATTCCATCACTGGTTTTCAAACTGAAATAAGGGGATACAATGAAGTGGGTTAAAGTTACAAAATACATCAGTAAGTGTTGTAGTAGTACTGATAATTATATTGTACCAAATTTCTGATGATTTCATAAAGGTGTATTATTTAATTGTGTATATGTTATTTTGGTGTTCATTTATTTAGGTATATGTTAATTTTTTTTGTTCAGGAAATTGATTAATAAAGCAACATTTCTTATTAAAATACTTTTCATTTAAGTTCCCAATTTTCAACAAATACTGTTGTCACTGGGTCTACAAAAAGGTTTCTAAAAATCTACAAAATGTTTGTTATAATTACAAACTACTTATTCAATTAGTTAACAGATTACTTTTGGTTGTAAATTTAACATAAAGTTTTGTGGACCTGAATTAACTAAAAATCTGGTTAATATTTGTTTAAACTTAACAAATCATGTTTTACTGTGTACTAATTTCATGACTAAAATTTAATTGTATAACATTTTTACAGGCTACGCTAGCAATTTTGGACAAGTTGGACATCGATTCGGAGCGACCTAGCGATGAAGAGATTGCCAGGATGTTTGGTTACGAGGAAGCCTACCATGCAGGTACTCTTACGCGTTGGCAGAAGCTCAAGCCAAAAATTTGGGCCCTTTTCGACGAACCTTATTCCTCCTCCTCAGCAAAGGTACCACCGTTGAATGTACACCATCGAAATGTGAATATAACTTTTACTAATATTATTGATAAAGTTTTTGTAGTGTAGTTAAAATATTAAATTATTGTGTATATAAAGTAAACCAAGGAACACAAGACATTTAAGTTTTTTAAATTTCAAACCGTTTAAAAAATATTTTTACTTTGATAAGATTACTAAAATAAATAAAATTTGTCCTTAGTTTACCTTTTTTGTGGTTTTGCAATATTTTTTACGAGCATGTAAATTATAATAAATAAATAAAGGGCTTTGTTTTTTTTTTAATGTGAAGGGGTATGTTGTGATACATCTTTTAAAAGGGCATTACATTTTTTGTTCGAGGGTTGCTATATATATATATTTCAATTTTATAATGACAATAGTCATGATACTACGTGAAAAGAAGTACTAGAAACGTTTGACGTAAGCGCAATTTGTGTATGTCAAAAAACTTTTGTTTCAAGTATTTTAAATGATTCATTTCACACCACTTGGCTACCCGGCACTGATGAGGTCCTAATGATTCATACTGTCGGTGCCTGATAGTGTAGTACCCTCGAAACGTCGATGGAAGGTAAATTCAATAAAAATTGGTTTAAACGTTTAAAAAAGTACCTTTTTTGCAAATAAAATTTGATTTTAAAATATAAATAGCTCCCTCGTTGATTTGGTAGTATTTTTATAAGCTTACCATTCTTAATGTTAGATAGATAATCCACTCAGTAAAAGAGTGTACAAATTTTAGTCTTGCATGCTACAACCCATTTCAGAAAAGTAAATTTTGTATTTATAAAGAACATATTTAATGGAAATAATCAATAAATGTTATTAATCCTGTAGGCTTATTAGTTGCATGTTTGGACAAAATACATCCACAGTTTCGACAACGCACCAAATGAAATACACTAAATTCAAAACTTTAATATCAATATTTTTGACCTTCTTGCTTTAACTTAGTACTACTTTTTAATTAATTCATATAAAAGAAATAATTTTTAATTCATTTTTCTGAAGCGTAAAAATAATGGCTCTAATATTCCGAGCAGTTTCGAGAAATGTAAATTTAATTGGTTTAATAAAAATGTTAATGTGAAGTACGTGCCAAATGTTCGTTTTCTAAAAATCTTTGCCGAATTTTAAAGTTTTCAAAACTGTACTGCAATATTATAATATTTAGTTTTAGGGTATTGGGAGAGTCAGGACAATATATTTTTTTATTTATAAAAAAGTGCATAACCATATAGGTTATTAGCACTCTTGGTGCAATATAATTTATAATTTAATTTGTGTATACAATTTTGCCTCCTTAAAGTATTTTATAATGTATATTTCATCATGTTAGATATTTCATTTTTTATTTATACCTTTCTGCTTTAAACTTTTTACGTTCCATTATAATATATTATGTGTTTTATAGTTATATTTTTATGACAATTTTTGCTTTCTAGTGTAAAATTTTAAAGTGCTCTATACGAATTTTTTTAATAATAACCTGTTCCTGCCTGGTCAAGGTTGGACAATGGAAATTAACTTATAGTTTTATTTTTAAAAATATCAAAAAATTTAAAAAAGTAAATGTAAAGTAATTAATTAATTATTGAAAAATCCCATTTTATAATGTAAAAAAGGTCAAAGGGTATTTTAAAAATTCAACTATAACTAAAACTTACTTAAGAATTTAAAATACGCTAAAGAAGCATCGGGCGAATTTAAGAATTGTCAACAATACATTTAAAGCATAAGAACTGCATATGATTTTTAAATAAATAAGTAGTTTTTTCAAAGAAAAAAGAAAGTCTTACTCAACAAATATTGTTCGAAAAGTTTTAATTGCACAGCTAAATCGCGTACGTTATTTATATTTCGCGTTGCAAGTAAAAACTGTAAAACTTTAGTTTAGTACTTGATTTCCATTTATTATTTCTTATACCATTGATTAAGCTTCTTAATTTAAGAAACTCAACGCTCATATACGTTAGTTTGTGTATTTTATCCAAGTGATTATGTTGAAATATTGTGTTTTTAATTGTAAATGTAATTCAAGAACTAAATCGTTGCATTTTCATGTTTTTCCAAAGGAATTCGGTTGGTATATTTGTTGGTGCTGAATTAACTAATGATAACTTTACCTAATATAATTTATATTTAAGTTTGGACATTTTTAAGAAATTGGTAAAAAATAATTTTCGTACAAACATAACCTTAAAATCAACCATTTTTATATTTGAGTTCTCTAAAAATGTAATTTATATTTAGGTTTGGACATTTAAAAAAATTCTTTTAAAAAATATTAGTTATAAAAACATAACATTACAATCAAATGCATTTTAAATAAGTAAACGAAAAGATATATCTACGAATTTATGGTAACATAATATTATAACGCTTTTAATAATGTATAATTCTGTTTGAATTTAGACGACTTATTTTTTTAATGATTTTTATTAAATTAAAATGTTTCTTAATTCGGATTTCCACTGTTTATTGGGAAAAACACTCGACAACACAACATATCGTTCCACGTTTTTTTTCTATATAACATTTTCCGGCCTTATTCTCAAAAACAGTCGTTCCATAGATCTATGACTGATTATTAAAAGTTGTAGTTTTATTACGATGATAACAGCCACCTGGTGGCGCTACTAGCGATACTTTAGCGTATAGTAAATTTCAAAAATACAAAAGTTAAGATTGTCAAAATATAATTTAGAATGTCAAACATGTTGGATCTTTTTTTAGTATACTCTCTAAAAATAAATTAGTCAAAAATGAGATATAGTCAATTTTACATTTAATATGGAATTGACTATATCTCAAAAACTGATAAAATTTATAATTGTTGACGTTATTTTAGGATTCAGGGGACAATTTTACATAAGAAGTGGCTGTTAAATTTTGGGATACCATAGTATTCCATGGTTAACCATGATACAAGTGAAAAAGCAGCCACTAATAACTATTAAATTACTCATTTTTGACTAATTCATTTTTAGAGTAGGTAATATGTATCTAAAGGTTCTCCACACTGCCAAAACACGCTATGTAAACTAAACTAAACATAAACAAACATAAGTAAAGAAAGTTATGCTAATTGGTGTATTTGTTAGTTTGCTGATTCGCATATATCAAAATGTAGGAAAAGGAAATAGAGAACATAATGCTGATGGGTAAACCAGGCATGAATCTTGCTCGGTAATACGCTGTAATCCTTAACAGATAATTAATTATCACGCTTGCCTGGTTCGCACATCCTTAGGCTAATGCAATGTTTGGGATACCTATAAAAACTTTTCTTAATTATATGCGACCTCAATTTTAAATATAAATTATTAATAATTACAATACTTTGAAAAAACTCATTTAATAATTTGATTATATATTTCCTAAATTTTCAAAATAAAGTGTAAAATATTTACCTTACAAATAAAATTGCCTATTAACTGATTTTTAAATTTCTGTGAAAAATTATTTTTTTTAGTTAAAATCATTTCAACAAATATTTTGTTATATTAAATATAATTTGGTATAATAATTAAATAAAAAGTATATGTTAATTAGAAATACATTCTATTTCAAGCGTACAATAATGTTCATATTAAAACACTCATAAGCATGCATAGAAATTAGGCACCGCCGTACAATAATGTATATACGAGGTGTGTTCAGAAAATATCGGGAATTTTCGTATTTTGAAACAAATATTTATTTATTCGCCTACACTAATGTTGTCGCCTTCAAAATAGTCCCCATTGGATATTATGCACATGTGCCAGCTTTTCTTCCAATACTCGAAACACTTCTAAAACTCGGTCTTTGGGATAGTCTTTAGTTCTTTCAGCGATGCGCTTTTAATGTCATCTATGCTTGCAAAACGACGGCCCTTTAAGGTTCTCTTTATTTTAGGGAATAGGAAAAAGTCAGACAGAGGCATGTCTGGCAAATATGGAGGCTGGGGCATCATTACAGTATTGTTTTTGGCCAAAAATTTTGTTCAAAATTTAACAATTTTAGAACAAATTTTTCTACCACGCGTTTTATACCCAAAACATTCGAAAAAATTTCATGGGATGAGCCAATCGATATACCAACATCATCAGCGACTTCTCTGATGGTTTATAACCATTTCTTCCACTTTTTCCATGTTTTTATCGGTTGTTAATGTGCTTGTGCGTTCGTCTTCAACGTCTTCAACGTCTTCACGGCCATCTTGGAAACTCTTATACCACTTGTAAACTCTTGTTTTACTTATAGCAGACTCACTATAGGCCTTTGTTAACATTTCACAGAATTTATTTCATTTTTTAAGCAAAATTGGATACAAATTTTTTGATTCATTTCTTTTAGCGAACGAAAAATCGCCGAGCTCATAAAACACGTCTAACCTTAGCCGCTGCCACAGACAAAGTAAACAATGAAAACAGCCAAAGTTTTTATCATACTTCAGGGGCATGTATAACAACATAATAAAGACAATTTTATGACAACCGAACCCTCCGAACCCACGAAATTTAACAATTCCCGTTATTTTCTGAACACACCTCGTACATTGATATTGCATAGGAAGAGTGGTTTCAACTATCGCGTTTGGGGCTTAAAATCAGCAAAGGAAATGTAAACTTATAGATCACTGTAGAATAAACTCATGTACATAACCTATAATATAACATATGTCAAACGTCAAATATAACAAAATGTCGCAAACTTGATAATTCAATGTAAGTACAGAATTATTAAATGCTTGAAAAAAAAAATAGTACATACAACACGGTGGAGAAAGTATATTAACTGCCTGTTAGATAATGTACTTTTTAGAGTCCAAGATAATAAAATATAAGAAAAGTATTTTTTTATGTTGATTTTTACGACAAAATAGATTTTTTTCTACTCTCACCTTTAAAACGCCCATTATGCTTCAATGACTCTAAGTGATCTTTTAAATACACATTGACAAGCTATGGCTTTATGGCGCTTTAGTCACGTTTAAGCAACAGATTTTTAGTTAGGTTTTTAGTTACAGGCTG